GGCGGGGCGGGGCAAGAGGGCGGGGCTGGGGGCCTTCGGGAACCGAGGGCAGAGGATGCCCAACGCCCCACCGCGGTGACGCCCACTCTTTCTCCCGTCTGGCCGGCGCAGTGTGGCACCGCATCTTCTCCAATGGTGCGTGGGGACTCTGGGGGATGGAGGGCCGTGGAGACGACCGGTCCGCTCATCCCCCGCGCTTCCCGTAGCGCTCCCGGATGACCTGCGAAGCCCCATCCGCGCCGAGCGCGAGGAACCGCGGAACCTGCACTTCTTCCCGCCAGAATATGGTGGTGAGTCCAGGAGGACCCGCCTCCTCCCTGCGCCCCGCATCCGCCCCGCATCCGCCCCGCCGGCCCTGACTCGGTCTCCCTGTTTGCAGAGGTTGCCGATGGCACCGCTGTGGACATTTTCTCCTTCGGGATGTGTGCACTGGAGGTAGTAGCCCCACGGCCTCTCCCAGCTAGCTCGCCCCCACCATCTTGCCTGTGCTGTCCCTTCCCCCGGTGTGACCTGGCCCTGCCCCCAGATGGCCGTTCTGGAGATCCAGGCCAATGGAGACACCAGGGTCACAGAGGAGGCCATTGCTCGTGCCAGGCACTCGCTGAGCGACCCCAACATGCGGGTAAGCAGCTCGCCTTGCCCCTTCCCGCTGGCTGGTGAGGTGCTCTGGGCAGGCCTGCAAATGCGGCCCTCAGTGCTGCTAAGGGGTGTGCCAGCCCGCTGCGCAGGGGCCTGCCTACAAGAAGGGCCTCACTGGAAGAGCATGTTCGGCTCCAGGCCTGAAGGCTCTTAAGGGCACATCCATTACTGTTATGCCCATTTTATAGGTAGAGGAACTGAGGTTCAGGGAAACAAAGCACTTTGCCCCAGGCTTTAGAGTAAGTTAATACAGCCAGTGTTTGCACCCAGGTCTGCCTGACTCCACGTTTCTGCCTTTAAGTCTCCCCAAAACAGGCTAGAGATGATGCGGCCTTAGCTTGTGGGGGGACACGGTGGCCAGGGGACAGGCAAAGGGAATATGGGATGGAAGCTGCATCCACAACCTCTCTGGCCAAAGTCTGGGGACTATTTGGCTTGACCACATGGCCCCTGGGTATGGTGGGGGGAGTGTTGGGGCCTAGATGGGGCTGATGGGGAGGTGGGACCAAGAAAAGCAGGAGAGGCAGTGCAGGGCAAGTATGGGGGTGGTGGCAGGGACCCTTCAAGGTCATCTCCGGAGTTGGGCCTGAGCCAGGGCAACTAGAAGAGGGGCGGGCTGTGGTAGGTGGGTGTGTGCTGAGCCACGTGACCTCTAGGGCCCTGGACTGCTCTGATGGCACACTGCCAGCCCCAGGGCTGCAGTGTAGACTTCATCTGTGACTTAGGGATGACAACACCGACCCCCTCTACCCCAGGACTTCTACGAAGGTTGTGGGAGGTAGAGCACGGGCAGTTCTGGGCCCAGAGCCTGACAGTCCTGTTGGTAGGACCAGGTCCCGACTGGGCTGCTATCAGGAGGCTCCTCCCTCTGCACATTCCTGCATGAGGCGCCCTGGGAATGATGGGACCCTTGGGGTCTGGGGACTTCCCGTGCTCACCTGTGGGCCCAGAGCAGAGCGCCTCCAGCTCCTGCAGCCGCCTGCTTCTCCATGGTGCAGGAGTTCATCCTCTGCTGCCTGGCCCGCGACCCTGCCCGCCGGCCCTCCGCCCACAGCCTGCTCTTCCACCGCGTGCTCTTCGAGGTTCACTCGCTGAAGCTCCTGGCGGCTCATTGCTTCATCCAGCACCAGTGTGAGGGCCGCGGCCCGGGGCGTGCCGAGGCCTAGGCTCGGGATGAGGACGGGGACTTCGGGACCTAGGGCTCAGGGTCCGCCGGCCTGAGTGCTCCTATGGCCTGCAGACCTCATGCCTGAGAACGTGGTGGAGGAGAAGACCAAGTCGACGGACCCGCACGCGGTCCTGGCCGAGATCCCCCGGCCCTCCCGGCCCCCGCTGCAGTGGAGGTGAGAGGCCCGCCCCCCAGAGACCGCCCCTCTCCACACGGCCAGCCCCGCCCTCAGTCCTGCGGGATTTCCTGACCAGCACCCTCACGTGCTTCTCATGCCCGTGCCAGGTACTCAGAGGTCTCGTGCTTGGAGTTGGACAAATTCCTGGAAGATGTCAGGTAAGAGCTGGCATGAGGTCGGGGAACAGTGGCTGCCAGGCCCGAGCCCCCAGCCACCCCTGGCCTGCCCCCAGAAACGGGATATACCCACTGATGAACTTCGCTGCTGCTCGGCCTTTGGGGCTGCCCCGCGTGCTGGCCCCACCTCCAGAGGAGGCCCAGAAGGCCAAGACCCCAACGCCAGAACCTTTTGACTCAGAGACCAGAAAGGTGAGCCCCCATCCCACTGCATCTCGGCAGCCGACCACCTAGAGGGGTGGTCTCAGGGGCTTTGAATCCCCCAGCCCTGCTCTCCTCCAGGCCGCCAGAGACCAGGTCCTGGATGACCACTCTGCGGGGGTTGGGGGGACAGCAAGCTGGGATACCCGCTTTCCGAGAGGCTCCTTGCCCCCGATGCTGCTGCTTGTCCCCATACGCATTGCTCCCTGACTCCGCCTGCTCCAGGTAGCCTTTGTCTGGTACTCTGGTGTCCCCCCAGGCCTCTCTGATCCCACGACCTTGGCTTGCTGACTCCCTGACACTTACGTCCCGGTGTCTCCTCCGAGGCCTCCCGCATCATGTTTTCTGCAACCTCTCCTCCTGCAAGGCTCCATCCTGGCTAGGGCCTCCCTCTCTCCCTTTCTATGTCCACCCGCTGGGTTCCGGAAGCTCTGACTTTGGGTGGGCGCATGGCCTGCACCCTGATCTGCGCCACCTCCATTCCCCACTTGGATGCTACACCAGTCCCCCACCTGGCCTCCTTCCTCCCGGCGTCCCTCCAGACTGCAGTCAGGATTCACGCTGTAATGGCCAGAGCCATCCAGAGAGACCGCGGGGCCCGGTCTGACCCCCAGGCGCTCTGAGGCCTAGTCCTGCTTCCGCTCTGTCGCTTCCCTGCCGACCTGGCTCTTCCCCGGTTCCCATGGCTCCCTCCTTGTTCCAGTGTTTCCACCCGGGAATCCCCCACTCAACCTTCAAACCCAGCATCTGGGAGTTTCCCTCAGCAGTCTGGGCGGCTGCCAGCGAGGTGTCCTTTCCAGGCTCCCCTTGGAGACTGTCCCCAGACCCAGTGTTTACTGTTCCTTCCGGGCCCCTTTGAGGCACCTCTGCTCTGGCCCCTTGGCTGCCGAGTGTGAGCCCTGTGGGTGACCTTGGGCCCTGCCACCCACAGGTGATCCAGATGCAGTGTAGCCTGGAGAGAAGTGAGGACAAGGCGCGCTGGCACGTGAGCCGGGCCCCGGGCCGGGGGGCGGGGGTGGGGGAGGG